GGAGAAGGATGAGAAGATGGAGAAGGAGAAGGATGAGAAGAAGGATGAGAAGAGGAGAAGGATGAGAAGGAGAAGGAGAAGGATGAGAAGAAGGAGAAGGATGAGAAGAAGGAGAAGGATGAGAAGAAGGAGAAGGATGAGAAGAAGGATGAGAAGAAGGATGAGAAGAAGGACAGTTCTGTGACAGTTTCTGTCTATTTCTGACAGTTCTGGGACATTCACTCCATACAGCGTTGAAACCGCTGTATGGAGGGAATGTCATAGAACTGTCAGAAATAGACTATTTCTGACAGTTCTGGGACATTCCCTCTATACAGCGAGAAGGATGAGAAGAAGGAGAAGGATGAGAAGAAGGAGAAGGATGAGAAGAAGGATGAGAAGAAGGAGAAGGATGAGAAGAAGGAGAAGGAGAAGGATGAGAAGGAGAAGGATGAGAAGAAGGAGAAGGAGAAGGATGAGAAGAAGGAGAAGGAGAAGGATGAGAAGAAGGAGAAGGAGAAGGATGAGAAGAAGGAGAAGGAGAAGGAGAAGGATGAGAAGAAGGAGAAGGATGAGAAGATGGAGAAGGAGAAGGATGAGAAGAAGGAGAAGGATGAGAAGAAGGAGAAGGATGAGAAGAAGGAGAAGGATGAGAAGAAGGAGAAGGAGAAGGATGAGAAGAAGGAGAAGGATGAGAAGAAGGAGAAGGAGAAGGATGAGAAGAAGGAGAAGGAGAAGGATGAGAAGAAGGAGAAGGATGATAAGAAGGAGAAGGATGAGAGAAGGATGAGAAGAAGGATGAGAAGAAGGAGAAGGATGAGAAGAAGGAGAAGGATGAGAAGAAGGAGAAGGATGAGAAGAAGGAGAAGGAGAAGGGAGAAGCAGAAGGAGAAGGATGAGAAGAAGGAGAAGGATGAGAAGAAGGGGAAGGAGAAGGATGAGAAGAAGGAGAAGGATGAGAAGAAGGAGAAGGATGAGAAGAAGGAGAAGCAGAAGGAGGAGAAGGAGAAGGATGAGAAGATGGAGAAGGAGAAGGATGAGAAGAAGGATGAGAAGAAGGAGAAGGAGAAGGATGAGAAGAAGGAGAAGGAGAAGGAATGAGAAGAAGGAGAAGGATGAGAAGAAGGAGAAGGAGAAGGATGAGAAGAAGGAGAAGCAGAAGGAGGAGAAGGAGAAGGATGAGAAGATGGAGAAGGAGAAGGATGGAGAGAAGAAGGATGAGAAGAAGGAGAAGGAGAAGGATGAGAAGAAGGAGAAGGAGAAGGATGAGAAGAAGGAGAAGGATGAGAAGAAGGAGAAGGAGAAGGATGAGAAGAAGGAGAAGGATGAGAAGAAGGAGAAGGATGAGAAGAAGGATGAGAAGAAGGATGAGAAGAAGGAGAAGGATGAGAAGAAGGACAGTTCTGTGACAGTTTCTGTCTATTTCTGACAGTTCTGGGACATTCACTCCATACAGCAGTTTCAACCGCTGTATGGAGGGAATGTCATAGAACTGTCAGAAATAGACTATTTCTGACAGTTCTGGGACATTCACTCCATACAGCGGTTGAAACATTGTATCTATTTGTTTCCATAAATGGATCCATTTATGGAAACAAATAGATACAATGTTTCAACCGCTGTATGGCGTGAATGTCCCAGAACTGTCAGAAATAGTCTATTTCTGACAGTTCTATGACATTCCCTCCATACAGCGGTTGAAACCGCTGTATGGAGTGAATGTCCTAGAACTGTCAGAAATAGACAGAAACTGTCACAGAACTGTCCTTCTTCTCATCCTTCTCCTTCTTCTCATCCTTCTTCTCATCCTTCTCCTTCTTCTCATCCTTCTCCTTCTTCTCATCCTTCTCCTTCTTCTCATCCTTCTCCTTCTCCTTCTTCTCATCCTTCTTCTCATCCTTCTCCTTCTCCATCTTCTCATCCTTCTCCTTCTCCTTCTTCTCATCCTTCTCCTTCTGCTTCTCCTTCTTCTCATCCTTCTCCTTCTTCTCATCCTTCTCCTTCTTCTCATCCTTCTCCTTCTTCTCATCCTTCTCCTTCTCCTTCTCCTTCTTCTCATCCTTCTCCTTCTGCTTCTCCTTCTCCTTCTTCTCATCCTTCTCCTTCTTCTCATCCTTCTCCTTCTTCTCATCCTTCTCCTTCTCCTTCTTCTCATCCTTCTCCTTCTTCTCATCCTTCTTCTCATCCTTCTCCTTCTTCTCATCCTTCTTCTCATCCTTCTTCTCATCCTTCTCCTTCTTCTCATCCTTCTCCTTCTTCTCATCCTTCTCCTTCTCCTTCTTCTCATCCTTCTCCTTCTTCTCATCCTTCTCCTTCTCCTTCTTCTCATCCTTCTCCTTCTTCTCATCCTTCTCCTTCTTCTCATCCTTCTCCTTCTTCTCATCCTTCTCCTTCTCCTTCTTCTCATCCTTCTCCTTCTCCTTCTCATCCTTCTCCTTCTTCTCATCCTTCTCCTTCTTCTCATCCTTCTCCTTCTTCTCATCCTTCTTCTCATCCTTCTTCTCATCCTTCTCCTTCTTCTCATCCTTCTTCTCATCCTTCTCCTTCTTCTCATCCTTCTCCTTCTCCTTCTTCTCATCCTTCTCCTTCTCCTTCTTCTCATCCTTCTCCTTCTCCTTCTTCTCATCCTTCTCCTTCTCCTTCTTCTCATCCTTCTCCTTCTCCATCTTCTCATCCTTCTCCATCTTCTCATCCTTCTCCTTCTCCTTCTTCTCATCCTTCTCCTTCTCCTTCTTCTCATCCTTCTCCTTCTTCTCATCCTTCTCCTTCTACTTCTTCTCATCCTTCTCCTTCTTCTCATCCTTCTTCTCATCCTTCTCCTTCTTCTCATCCTTCTTCTCATCCTTCTCCTTCTTCTCATCCTTCTTCTCATCCTTCTCCTTCTTCTCATCCTTCTCCTTCTTCTCATCCTTCTCCTTCTTCTCATCCTTCTCCTTCTTCTCATCCTTCTCCTTCTTCTCATCCTTCTCCTTCTCCTTCTTCTCATCCTTCTCCTTTTCCATCTTCTCATCCTTCTCCTTCTCCATCTTCTCATCCTTCTCCTTCTTCTCATCCTTCTCCTTCTTCTCATCCTTCTCCTTCTCCTTCTTCTCATCCTTCTCCTTCTCCTTCTTCTCATCCTTCTCCTTCTCCTTCTTCTCATCCTTCTCCTTCTCCTTCTTCTCATCCTTCTCCTTCTTCTCATCCTTCTCCTTCTTCTCATCCTTCTCCTTCTTCTCATCCTTCTCCTTCTTCTCATCCTTCTTCTCATCCTTCTCCTTCTTCTCATCCTTCTCCTTCTTCTCATCCTTCTCCTTCTTCTCATCCTTCTCCTTCTCCTTCTTCTCATCTTTCTCCTTCTCCTTCTTCTCATCCTTCTCCTTTCTCCATCTTCTCATCCTTCTCCTTCTCCTTCTTCTCCTTCTTCTCATCCTTCTCCTTCTCCTTCTTCTCATCCTTCTCCTTCTCCTTCTTCTCATCCTTCTCCTTCTCCTTCTTCTCATCCTTCTCCTTCTCCTTCTTCTCATCCTTCTCCTTCTCCTTCTCCTTCTCCTTCTCCTTCTCCTTCCTCATCTCCAAGGGCATTTAAATTAAAGGTACAGTGTTCTGCACTAATTTAAAGGCTCTCTGAAGCCTAGAAACCTTTTTTATAAGTCATCTTCGTAGCGAATAAATTCGCATCGAATCGAATTTCTTCCTGAAATTCGCCGAATCAGCCGAATCGAATTTTTGAATACTTCGCTCATCTCTAATTATTAGGGTCAGATGTAGAGAAAAGAAACACAAACCATGGTGCCTTATCCTTTTAAATAGTGGAAATTTATTTCTGCCTGTAGCGATAATACACAGCGATATACAGTTCCTTGGTAGTCCAGGGCGGCATAAATATCACAGTCAATTGTGGGTGAAGCAATCCTCTACCTCTGCTCTCCCTCCCTGCCTGCCTCTGTCTGCGTTGGAATCGCCGAGCCTCTCAGGGGAGGGGCTCAGACGTCACGACGTTGCAGCGGAGAGGCTCGGCGATTCCAACGCAGACAGAGGCCTCTAGGTCCAAAAAATTGTCCTGTAGTAGGTTTATAAATGTTTGCCTTTTAAACTGTTCCTGCAGTAACATTACTCCAGTCAGCTTCCAGGTAGTTAAATTCCCCCATTATTATCACTGTCCCAGCACTTGTAGCCCTTTCGATCTATGCAAGGAGCTGAGTCTCCACCTTCTCATGAACACTGGGATTCCTACAACAAACTCCAATGATTATCTTTGTAGTACGCACTCTCATGTGCAGTTTCCACCCATAATGCTTCAGCCTCATCACACTCTCCATCAACTACATACTGGTGACAGTAAATTATGACAAATAAATGACAACTTAAAAAACCTCTCCATGCCTTTTACTAAATACCTCAGAATGTCTACTTTTCAAAAAATGGTCAATAGGGGGGTATTTGTACTGTCCTGGCGTTTTTGGGCCTCAAGAAATGAGATAGGCCATCAGTACAGTTGGATTGATCAATTTTCAGATATATATCATAGTTTGTGGACTTTCCTACAGACTAAATAATATACACTGATCTGGGTTATTTTCACCAAATAAATATAGCAGAATACATTTTGGCCTAAATGGCCTAAACAATATTATTTGCAAAATGTTATTAACCACTAGCCTACAGGGCACTTATACCCCCTTCCTGCCCAGGCCAATTTCCAGCTTTCAGCGCTGTTGCACTTTGAATGACAATTGCGTGGTCATGCAACACTGTACCCATATGAAATTTTTATCATTTTTTTGTGACAGATAGAGCTTTATTTTGGTGGTATTTAATCACCTCTGGTTTTTTTATTTTTTCTTAAACAAACCAAAAATCACTGAAAATTAAAAAAAAAAAAAGTTTTTTCTTAGTTTTTGTTTATAAAGTTTTGTAAATACGTGATTTTTCTCCTTCACTGATGTGCACTAATGAGGCTGCACTGATGGGCACTGATATGCTACACTGATGGACACTGATAGGTGGTACTGATGGGCACTGATGAGGAGGCACTGGTAGGTGGCACTGATGGCATTGACAGGCATCACTAATGGGCACTGAAAGGCAGCACTCATATATGGCACTGATAGGTGGCACAGATAGGTGGCACAGATAGGTGGCACTGACTGGCACTGATAGGCGGCACTGACTGGCACTGATAGGTGGCACTCACTGGCATTGATAGGTGGCACTGACTGGCACTGATGGGTGAAACTGAAAGGCAGCTCGGATGGGCACTGATATGTGGCATTGATGTGACACTGATGGGCACTGAAATGTGGCACTGATGGGCACTGGCAGGTGGCATGGATGAGCACTGAGAGCTGGCACTGATGGACACTGACAGGTGGTGCTGCTGGGGCTACACAGATTATCAGGGCACACTGATCATCGGTGCTCTGATGATCTGTGTACATGTCCCCTCTGAGGAATGCCGATTACTGGCTCTCCTTTCCTCACGAGCTGTCAGAGTGACAGCTCGTGGGGAGAGAAATGCCGATAACCAGCATTTCCCTGTTTTACATGTGATCAGCTGTGTTTGGACACAGCTGATCACATGACCGAGCCGACATCTTCGGCTCTTTCTGTGGATCAGTGATCCCGCACCGCCGATCGCCGCATATGCACGGTTAGAATGGGAGGACTTCATATGACGTCCTCCCAGAATGAGAAAACCGCCTTGCATCCGTCATGTTACTATATGGCGGGCGGGAGGCGGTTAAACAGAAATGAAGAAAACATAGATTTTTTTTTGCAAAATGTTTGGTGTTTTTCCTTTATTTAGCAAAAAATAAAAAAAATTGTGGTGATCAAATACCACCAAAAGAAAGCTCTATTTGTGTGGAGAAAATTATAAAAATCTAGTTTGGGTACAGTGTTGCATGACTGCGCAGTAGTCAAAGTGCAACAGCGCTGAAAGCTGAAAATTGGCCTGGGCAGGAAGGGGGTAAAAGTGCCTGGTATTGAAGTGGTTAATATTGTTCTGATTTAAGGCAGAGAATCTCATCTTTATAAATGGGAGGCATTCTCTTTATACTTTTATGATACATAATCTAGAAATCATACCACTTTTCTATACAGATCATTAACAGTCTGAACAGAGGCAATTCAAGAGGGAAAAAGCCAGAAGGCTTCCTCTGTGAATACAAAAATTACATTTTATTCTCCGAGGGACAAAGGAGAAAAAAATGTGACACTAGTGTCTATTACAAATTTCACAGCTGGAGACCAGCCTGAGGAAACATAATATGTTATGCATATTTAATGATGAAGTACAGCAATTTTACCCCCAAATTAATGGCCAATTCAAAAACTGAACAATTTCTACCTTAGTAAAGGAAACTTAGGCTTTGCGCATTTCACGTAGAGACAAAGCACCATAGCCCAACGTGAAAATTCTTGCAGAGGAGAGGATCAACCCTGGCCGCACATGATATGTTTTGTGATACTATAACACACCGGCAAAAATATCAGGTAATGGTAGTTGTTGGTGCCCAAACACCATATACCCAACAAGAAAATTCCTGCAGAGCATAGGCGCACCCTGCTTTAATATTCATGTTTGAACTACTATAACACTGCTGCAAATAAATTGGGTTTTAGATGTTGGTGGTGCCAAAAAACCATAAGCTCCTGAAAAGTTCATGCAGAGCACTTGCTTTAACAATTATTCATGTATGAGCTACCCTGACACAGCTGTGAACAAAATAGGTTTTAGGTGTTGGTGGAGCCCAAACATCAAAATCCCACATAAAAAATGGTAGAGCATAGGAAAGAGCTTTTAAAACAAAATGTACAGCCTTTGCAAATGTGAAAATGCTGCTAACAAATTGTGGACACCACATTAAAATTGTTTTTGCAAAGAGCAGTAGCTATTGCTCTAATTTTAGACTATAATGCAAGCAGGCCTAAAACAGTGGCAGGAAATATTTCATAGTCATAGTTAGTCTGGCTGAAAAAAAAGACAAAAGTCCATCCAGTTCAACCATAGAAAAAAAAAGAAGTTATAATCCTATACCCACAGTTGATCCAGAGGAAGGCAAAAAAAAACCCCAGCTAAGCATGATCCAATTTGCTCCTGCAGGGAAAAGAAAATTCCTTCCTGATCCCCCGAGAGGCAATCGGATATTCCCTGGATCAACTTTACCTATAAATGTTAGTATCCAGTTTATATTCTGTGTATCTAAGAAAGAATCCAGGCATTTTTTTTAAGCAATCCACTGAGCTGGCCAGAACCAACTCTTGAGGGAGTCTATTCCACATTTTCACAGCTCTCACTGTGAAGAAACCTTTCCATGTTTGGAGATTAAATTTCTTTTCCACCAGACGTAAAGAGTGCCCCCTTGTCCTCTGTGATGACCTCAGGGTGAATATCTCTACATCGAGTTCACTATATGAACCACTGATGTATTTATACATGTTGATCATATCCCCCTAATCTCCTCTTCTCAAGAGAGAATAAATTCAGTTCTTCTAATCTTTCCTCATAGCTGAGCTCCTCCATACCTCGTATCAGTTTGATTGCCCTTCTTTGTACTTTTTCCAGTTCCCCAATGTTCTTTTTGTGAATTGGTGCCCAAAACTGAACTGCATATTCCAGATGAGGTCTTACTAATGATTTGTACCGGGGTAATATGATATCTCTCTCTCTGGAGTCTATACCTCTTTTAATACAAGAAAGGATTTTGCTCGCTTTAGACACCGCAGCTTGGCATTGCATGCCATTATTAAGCTTGTGATCTACCAGAACTCCCAGATCCTTCTCCACCATTGATTCCCTCAGTTGTACTCCCCCTAGTATGTATGATGCATGCATATTCTTAGCCCCCAAGTGCATAACCTTACATTTATCAACATTAAACCTCATTTGCCACATAGTTGCCCAATTAAATAGTGCATTGAGGTCGGCTTGTAAGTTGAAGACATCCTCTAAGGACGTTGTGTCATCTGCAAAGACTGAAATGGCATTTTTAATCCCAGACCCTATATCGTTTATAAATATATTAAATAGTAAGGGTCCCAACACTGAACCCTGGGTTACACCACTGATGACCCGTAGACCATTCTGGAGTATGAATCATTAACCACTACTCTTTGAATACGATCTTTTAGACAGTTTTCTATCCATTTACATATGGCTTTTTCCAAGCCCGTAGACTTTACCTTACACATTAGTTGTGTGTGGGGAACTGTGTCAAACGCTTTTGCAAGATCCAAGTATACCACATCCACCGCCACCCCTCTGTCCAAGGTCTTGCTCACCTCCTCATATAAAGAAATCAGATTTGCTTGATAACTTCTGTCTTTCATGAATCCATGCTGTCTGTTGCTTAAAATATTTTTTTCCAGCAAGAACTCATATATGTGGTCTTTTACTAAACTCTCCAGTATCTTCCCAACTATAGATGTTAAACTAACCGGTCTATAATTACTTGGTAAAGATTTTGACCCCTTTTTAAATATAGGCACTACATTGACCTTACACCAATCCAGTGGTACTATGCCAGTCATTAAAGAGTCCCTAAAAATTAGAAACAATGGCTTTGAAATGACAGAGCTCAATTCTTTAAGGACCCGTCGGTGTATGCCATCCAGTCCAGGTGCTTTATTCACCTTTATACTGTCTAAATATTTTTGGATCATATCAATTGTGAGCCAATGTGGATCATCTGGAGCTGTGCCAGCATCATGCCCATTATGGACAAGAACTCCCCCATGCTCCTTTATATACACAGAGCTGAAGAAGGTATTAAATAAATGTGCCTTCTCTTTGTCCCCAGTCACCCACTCTAGAATATTTTGTAAAGGGCCTACATGCTCTGACTGAACCTTTTTACTATTAATATATTTGAAGAATTTTTTGGGTTGGTCTTGCTATCTTTTACAAATTTACAGTGGCAGGTAGTGGGATGTACTAATGGTGGCTGAGCGTGGTCATAGAGACCAGATATAGAAATGGTGGCAGAATATGAGAAATATTTTGTGAACATACTATATTGTGGCACAAGCTGTCTTAACAGAAGTTCCTCTAAAATGGATAGCTAACAAAGAGTTCATAAAGTCCATATTTGACACTGCAGCTCAACTCAGCTGACTTCCAACACTTAGTGCAGCTCCTCAGGACTGAAGGTTCTCCAAAGTGACAAAGAAAATAGGTGAGGGCATACCTAGGTGCTGTAAAATGTATATTTATTTGTAAAAACAACAATAAGCAACTCACATTTAATGAGAAGTAAAGTGCCTGTAATGCAGACTCTGTCCACTGGGGCTGTCATTGGTTCACTATAGCATTATAACTATATTGGTTCACTAGATCAGTTAGACATCTAGAGGAAAGTCCATGTGTGAAATCAGATCCTTGGGGGTTGTGGGGGTTAGCTACGCATTTTGAGGACATGCTACCTCTTGCTCAATCCTATTTTACTAAATGGATGATGTGATATTAATGAAAATGAATTAGATAATCAGAATCTATGTGTATGGAAGTCGCTTAAGCAAGCCTGCGGCAGCATGCATTAAAGATGGCGATAATGATGAGGATCAAAGCACGTTAGTTATATATGGGATAACCCAAAAAAAAAAAAAGGTCATACAATACAATATTGAAAGAAAATATAAAAATAAAAAAAAAACAAAACAATAGTAATAGACAATATGAATGTATATATATATGTATATATATATATATATATATATATATATATATAAATATCTCTATCTATATAGATATTATATATATATATATATATATATATATATAGATGATAGATATAGATCTATACAATGAAGGAAATAAGTATTTGATCCCTGCTGATTTTGAATGTTTGCCCACTCACAAAGAAATGATCAGTCTAAAAATCGAATGGTAAGTGTATTGTAACACTGAGAGACAGAATAGCAACAAAAAATTCAAGAGGAGTGGGCCAAAATTCCTCCTGAGATGTGTACAAACTTGGTGGCCAACTACAGGAAAGTCTGACCTCTGTGATTGCCAACAAGGGATTTGCCACTAAGTACTATATATAATGAGATAATGAAAAGGATTGGGAGAAAATGAGAGGGTTATACCTGTTGACATGACATGTATCTACAGGCATGAGATCATTAGATACTTGGGATAGAGTCTTTAAAGTGTAAATCCAATATGTTTCCCTCTCGCATACTCTTTTGAACCTCTCTGATACTGGTAATTTGCTGGAAATAGATTTGAGAATCCAAACATGCAGACCATCAGAAGATGTTCCACGGAATTCTGGCAGAGTATCTGCAAAGGCTGCATTTGATATTACTGTCTTCTACAAATCTATGCTCCCCAAAGTTCTCATGGTTCTACCGACATATGACATCCCAC